CTATACATTGCCTTTCATTATTTTGTGTGAAGATAAAGAGGTTGATGGGTAGATGAGAATTCCTTAAGTTTTTCATATTTATTCTACCTTCTTCTTCAATTTTGATTTTATTTCCTGATTTTTTGTTAAGGCTCTTCTAATAACAAACATTCATTTAGATATTTCAAGCATAGTTATGTTTCATTATTTTGTGAGAATATTTGTGGCATATTGATGTCAATTAGAATGCTTACATCATTAAAGGATTTATTCTCTTGGTATATCATCATCATCGTAGTTGGCCAGACAACCCAATGTGGGTCAATGCCTTCCTCTGAAGATTTCTCCATAACGACTTTTGATTTATGTTTGATCTCCAATTCTTTTCATTATTTATAGGAAAATCAGACTCCACCGAGTCAGCCCATCTCCACCGCCGCCTTTCCCGCTTTCTTGTTCCAGTGGGTCTAAAAAGCAGTATCTTTTTTATTGTATTGTCATCAATTATTTGAATCACGTTTGCTATCCAATTAATTCTATTTATTTTTTATTTTTTTTTTGTATTTAATAATATTGAGTTGTTNCAATTCTTTTCATTATTTATAGGAAAATCAGACTCCACCGAGTCAGCCCATCTCCACCGCCGCCTTCCCCGCTTTCTTGTTCCAGTGGGTCTAAAAAGCAGTATCTTTTTTATTGTATCGTCATCAATTATTTGAATCACGTTTGCTATCCAATTAATTCTATTTATTTTTTTCGTATTTAATAATATCGAGTTGTTTATAAATCTTGTACTGTTCAAAGTTAAATATCCTTCTCCAGTTATTGTTTTCATTTACACCACCAAGTATACTGCGCAAAATCTTTCTCTTGGTATATAAGAATTATTTAAGTTCTTAATTTACAAAACTCTTGGCATATGCTTCTAAAGCTTGGACAATGACAAAACCGTCGTAAAATTGTACCGCAATATTTTAGAAAAAAGATTTTGCGGAGTATACTTGGTAGTGTAAATGAAAAGAATAACTGGAGAAGGATATTTAACTTTGAACAGTACAAGATTTATAAACAACCCGATATTATTAAGTACATGAAAATAAATCGAATGAATTGGATGGTCCAAGTGATTCGAATGAGTGATGACAATACATTAAAAAATATATGGCTTTTTAGACCCACTGGAACAAGAAGGCGGGGAAGGTCGCTGTTTAGATGGGCTGATTCGGTGGTGGCTGATTTTCTTGCAATTAATGAAAAGAATGGGAGATGAATGGTAGATCGGAAGTCATTATATAGAAGTCTTCAGAGTAAGACATTGGCCTACATTGGGCTGTTTGCACAGCTATTAGGATGATATAAGAATAATTATATTTCTTAAATTTCTCGTGTGTTTACTTACATTTTAAAAATTTAGATGGTACAGATGATTCTTCATTTGATACATCATTGGTTAGAGTGATTTTGATAATTCTTCATTTTTTACCATTAGAATTCCAGACGGTATTGATTTATTGCCTTAATCGTGAGGTTAACTTGGAGAAAATAGGGTCGTGGTTATTCAGAAACTCTTACTCTTTGAAGTATCGACGAAGTTTATCAAAAGGACGATTACTGTTTCGTCCGAACATAAACATCTATTTCCTCCCTCTTTTACTGCATTTTATTTAATCCTTTCCCTCATTTTGAAAGATTCTCCTAACTATTGTGTCTCTTTTTTTTAAATTTAAATATAATAGATAGATGGGACACTATTGGGATAATTAGTATTGGCTTTTAAATGTTTGAACATTGTATGTGAAAATAAGTAGTGAGTTGATGACAATACTTATTCAGATTATAAGAGAGCATTTTCATCTCTCTTATGCTGCCTTAACAATCGTCTTACTAAATGGGTACCAATAATAAGCTTCATTTTTCTTAAATGGTCGGCTGTTTTCCTCATTCTACTTATCTGTTTATCGTGAAATGCACCCACTTTACTTATAAGACCATTCTGATGAGATTTGACCCACGTCATAATGTGTGTATACACTTTAATTCTTTTAGGGATTGGGAAGTTAGGGATAATTAATTTTCTAAAAGTCTTATTTTTATTTCATTCTCTTTATTATGAACCTTTACGAGGACCTTTATTTATCTTTTTATTGTTTAATACAGAATCAATAAGACATTTTTTCTTTTTTTTTAGATTTTGATTCTGAATTCGAATAAATTCAAGTAGCAAGTTTAAAAAGATACAATATTTTATTTTCATTACGACTAGTTTTATCTTTTTCTTTTTTTATCTTTTTAATTCTCATGTTTTCTTTTTTTAATAAATATTTCGTGTTAAGATGGTTTAAGATCACCTTTCAAACCGTCTTAAGGTGGTTAAGACTAACTGATGAAAAAGTAAATTTGCTAAATTCAATTTTCAAATATTCCTTCTCTCGTAAATAATTTCTTTTTAAGCTCTCTCTCTCTCGTTTATTTTTCTTTGTCATTTTTTTAGTTGGCTTTGAAAGGAAATAATATGCCTACCATGCACAATATATGGTTTTTCCCCCCTAAAGTTAAGTGTTTCTTTGATGAATAAGGTTTTCCAAAAACTTACACCTGGAAAAATAACCTAAAAATTTCTTTTAAAAACTTCAAAAAAGAATTTATTCATCTTTTTAAATGTTTCAATTATCTATATTTTGTTATTAATGTCACAATTATCTATATTTAAATTTTGATAAAATTTGCAAAAAAAAATAAATAAATATATAAATATTCAGAAAAAAATCTGAAAACAGCCAGTCATCGAGACCAATCGTGACATGAGGCTATGGCACAATGACTGCAATAATATGCCATAATGATTGCAATAATTGAATGACTGCAATAATATAACATAATGACTGCATAATTGTGAAGATAGTTTTAAAGGAAAGTAATTATGTTTTCAAAGTGACTGAGAAATGTTCATTAAATATCTGCTAATGTTTTGAAAAAAAGGGAAAAAATTTAAGCTGGACTTAAAAAAAAAATCATTTTAGTGGAGTATTTTTTTTTATTATTTTAATATTTTTAAAATAGTCATTTCCAAAACTTCTTGCACACATTTGAAAAAGAAAAGCAAAACCCATTTTGTTATTTTTAATAAAATTCATTGCTAGTACTGCGTGTAACCAATCAGCTTCTATGTATAAGCCATCTTATCTGTCGTCATTTAATTGAAAGACAAGAGCTGCTCAACAGTTTTTTGTTTCCAAACTGTGCAATCTTTACCGACAGTAAGATACATTGATTGTTTATCTCTTAATTTATTCTCTATTCGTTGAACCAATTTCATTTCCTTGCTGATAAAATCAATATTGCAACAGATATCAGTCAAACAAAATGCCCAATTTATTTTTCGAGAAATCACTACAAGTGAATTTTAAAAATAAAAAAAATACATCTGTTTAATTAACTTAAAGTTTGAGTTTAACTATTTTCGTGATAACTTTAAATTTCAGCTTTTTTTCTGTTATTAAAATTAATAAGAAAATTGCTATAATTAACTAAAAATTTTGAAGTTAATTTAATTTTATTTAGTTTTTTAGTTGTAAAATTTAAAAAAGAAATAAATGTCAAACTACGTGGAATTTCAATAAACTTACTTAATAAATAAATGGTTAGTGACATTCTTCTTTATTATTAGAAATCTATCACTTTAATTTACTAAAATATGAAAAATAAATGTTAATTCTTACAAATATTTCTGTTTATTATTGGAGATTTGTATAGCTTCAGTTATTTATATTCCTACCTAAGAAAAAAAAAATTCTAATTAAAAAAAATTCATATTTTCACAAATACCCTATTAATTTTATATTAACACAGTTTTCTCTCATACTAGTAAATCACTCAGATTAAGCTATTAAAAAAGGTTTTTTTTTATTTTAATGACAAATATTAAAGGAAACTACTCTTAGGTTCTTAGACGAGAAATATTTTTCTTTAAATAAAGTTTTAAGTTTAAAACTTGATCAATAGATATCTGCATCAGAGAAATCCATTTGAAATATATACGTAATTAGATTCTAATTCCAGGTAAAGCTCATATAAATATTGAAAACTAAATCAAACACATTTTTTGATAAGGTAAATATGAATATTTTATATGATTATATTTCAACCTGCTATAATTATTTAGGTATTATGAATTTCATGTCATAAAAAGAAAAACAACTTGCAATTTTAATACATTCATCAACATTAAATATTCGTATTTTAAAAATGGGTTACTGATGTTTGATTCAAATAAAAATAATACAGTATTATAAAATAAATAAAAAAATCTTATAACAATTAAATTAATATTGTTAATATTAAATTAAAATTAGTTTTGGAATATACTTAAATTATATTAAAAAAAAATCTTATAACAAATTTATGATGCATTACGAGACAATATATAACTATTTACTTCCCAAGTTCTCAAAAAAATCCCCCAGATGGCTCTATTCTACCGTTTTTTTTCTGCTACTTTTGATGTAAAAAGATTTTATTCTCGGAATACAGCCTGTGAGTTTAAATGATGGTGGCCATTTCTAAAATACCGTAATGTGATTGTCATTAAGAGATTCTAAGAAGCGCGATCTGTTAAAAAATATTCAAACTTAACATTCTGTATTATTACTTCTTTTGCTGTAAAAGCTCTTATTTATCGTTCGTTATTATCTGATTCAGGTCAAAATTACATTCTGTAGATGAATGAATAGATGTATGAATAGATCCGTCCTATAAACGGGTATGGCAGAAGTCGAATTCTTGACCATAGATGGCGCCACTGGAAAACAAGAACAACAGGCTTACGAGAGAGAGCTCTTTTTTAAACCTTAATCATTTTTCTGTTGTAAAATTTTGAAAACCGTCTATCTAATGCTTAACGCATTGTTCCCTTATGAAATTTATGATATATTCAGGTTATTACCTTACTTTTTAATTTGATTCCTCTGGCATTAGCCATATGAAATTCATTTTAATTGAATCTAATACTTTTATTTGTTTAGATCCCTGCCAAGGCGTTGAATGCCCGAATTCTCAAGTATGCCAGCTCGATGAGCATAGAAACGCCATGTGTAGATGCAATGCTATTTGCTCTGAGGATATTAGACCTGTATGTGGATCTGATGGGAAGACTTATGCAAATGAATGTGCTCTTCGCGTAGAGGCTTGCAAATTTAGAAAAAATATCAGAGTTGTTTATTCCGGAGAATGTAGCACAGGTAATTTTTGCTTTTGTAAATAAATGAGCCTACTGTTCCATACATTGTTTAAAGGGATGTCTGCAGCTGCTATGTGAAAGTGAAACAACTTATACAAAATTAAAAGGGCAACTAAATTGCAGAACTTGTAATGAAAGCTAACATTTTCGCCTTATTTATCATGGTATACATAATCTACTCGCAAAGATATGACCCCTGAAGAAATATATGCTGCAAAAAATTTTGGATCAAATTAAAGTAAAAAAGTACCTAAAGCCAGTACTTTTTACTGTAAAATCTATTTTTACCAGATCATGCTGAGGAACAACAATCAGATATACCGTAATTTGCACTGTAATAACTACGGTGAAATCATTGAGCCACTCAAATTAAATAAATATTACTGCAAAAACTACGATGTAATATTTTTACGGTAAAAATGAATTTTACGGATGATGTATATAGAGTGCAGCTGCTTTGTACCGTGATTTTAACCGGAATTTTTTTACAATGCGGTTGATAACTATTTGACGTTTTCTTGCTGTGTAACTTTTAACGTTCGTTGTAGCAATGTAGACGCTGGGAATTTATTTTCCCACTTCCATCCAGTCCTCAAGGAAGACATTTTTGGCAACATCGAGTGATTAATATTTTTTTTTAAAAATCCAATACCCACCTGGGGAATGACCTTTCGTCATACAGGCATTTGAAGGACAGATTTGTTGGCCACTCTTTTAGGGGCACCCTATTACGTGGGCTAACTCTGCTTTCACAGTAAGAGAAGGAAGGAACATTCATGCCTTGCCCAGGATGCGAACCCAGAAACTTTCTGATGCAAGGGCAGTTCCCTAACCTCTACACAGGCTGGTCGACTGTAGATTAAAATAAAACATTTCAATTCAATACACGCAGAATTTAGTATGGAATTAACGTAACACTTACAATTATAATAGCGTGATGCGTTTTACTGTTTAATCACATGGTTAATATAGACGCTGTGTATTTCCTTTGCACCATCGAGAAAGGGATTGTGAAAGTTCTTTGGATGAAAAAAGGCATCCAAGTTAACATTCATTACTGACTCTGGAGTGTGTCTATGCATATTTCTGGTGAATAAGTAATATAAAAAAGTTCTTTAAAGTCAATTCCTACTTAGGTCAACAAGGAAAATTTTTATTTTAGTTACTTTTTATTATATAATTAAAATTTCTTTCTCCCATATAAAACTAAAATTACATTTAATTAACGAATTAATATTTGAAAAAATTGCATTGACATCAAGTATCAGCTACCACAAGTTTAAAAAAATGTATTTGAACTTGAGTATATAAATAAAAATTATTTTATTAGCTGCTGAAAATTTGAACAAGATATATAAATAAATATAGGGAGAGTATGAAATAATAGTCGGGATTTAAAAAAAAAAAGGCTGACAACTATAAAAGTATAAATCTGATGACGTGCACCACACGTACTACCACGTCATGTTCTTTATTGTATTTATCTGACGCAGCGAATATAAAATAATTAAGTATTTAAATGAGCTTAATAGACTATTTTTTTTGTTCAAATAAAGCTATCAGTTAGAAATTTTATAGATATTATTTTTAAAATATGTGAAAAACTGAATAGCTTATAGTAAAATTTAAAACAATGACTAACGCTTAACCCATCAGAAAATTCCATTCCGTTTTACGCGTATCCCCGTTTAATTAATTAATATTTGAAAAAAAAAACAGTATTAACATCAAGTGTCATCCAATATAACTTTAAAAAAAATGTTTTTGAACTTAAGGGGATGAATGAAAAGTATTTAATTGAGCAAGATACAGGGAGAGTGTGAGCTAATACTAGGAATTGAATAAAATATTATAGGATTGTTCAACCAATCATACAATGATGGTATCATCAGGAAGCGGGTTCACCGTGTTAAGTTACGATGTATTATGCAAGGTCAAGCAAGTTATTTCATTCAGTGAAATATATATGAGCTAAAATCATTGTATATGAGCATGTACTCTAATTACCAGTATCCCTGTGATGTGGAAGTTCACTTAATGGCAAACTGTAGTATCAGCATTTTAACATTTATTTTGCAGGAAAGAACCCGTGTGAGAACATTCAGTGTGAGATTCTGGAGGAATGCAACATTGACAAATTTGGCATCGCATCTTGTCAATGTCCACAAAATTGTGAATCTGTTATGAAACCTGTTTGTGGCTCTGATGGACAAACCTACAACAGTGAATGCGAACTGCAGAGGCATGCCTGTATTCATAAGCGTATTATATCAGTTGCTTATGGGGGAGCGTGTGGTAAGATGATTCTTTTTATACTGCCTAGTTCTTATGTGCTATTTAAAGGTTCCATGCCATCTAATTTTTAGATCATGTTCTATACTGCTTAACCGCTTGCCTGATTATCCCGAGTTAATTCGGGTATGTATATATTGCTAATATTTATTATCCCGAAAAAACTCGGGCATAGCTGAATTCATCAATACGTTTTGCTTGATACGTTTTTATTCTGCCGGAAGCAAAACAAAAAATAATAATTATCTGCTGTGATTGGAAGTTTGTCAATATTTGTTTGGAAGGTGATGGTAAATTAAACATTTTTTTGCACATAAAAAAAATTAAAATTTCAACTTAGAACTTGTGTATTATGTCTTGTTTTAGTTTCTTGTATTTATTAATAAAATTAAAGAAATTCTCAGATTTTTTACATTTTTTTCTCTCAAAATATTTGGTAAGGGTAGCGGTTAATACTTGTATGTATATATTTTGTTCATTTTAATATTGTAATAATTAGGCATATGCTGCCTAATCTTTAGAGTCTGTTCTGTACTGCTTAATAGTTAGATAGTCTATACTGAATAATAGTTCGATATTTATATTGCCTGAATTTAAGCTGCAGTTCTTTACTGCCTCATATTTCAATATTATATACTGTTAATTATTTAGACATTCTACACTACAAAATATTAACTATTCGATGTTATTCTATATTGCCTTATCTATAATAGTACTTCTTATTCAATTTATCTAAAAAAAAATTAACGTAAATCTAACATTGAGCAAGTTTATAAAATTCTAAAACAAATGTACAGTGTGCCAAAAAAAAACGGATCACCCTGATTAACTTTTGATCTAATGATCAGACCTTCACGTTCTAGGACTCATTCTTAATGGTTCGAGAGGGTGACCTCAAATATGCTAATTAATTAGTGCAGATAAAATTTAAGTTACGAACCAGACGCAAAAACGTACTATCTCTGAATAAACGTACCCTTTTTTTCTCAATAGATTCAGATTTCAGACCCCCAAAATATAGGGGGTAGCCACAATCTGGGAAATAGGGTCCCCGAAGTTTAGTCAGGAGAGCGATCCCTTAATGTTAATTTTACATTTTGCGTATTTCGTCATATCTCGAGAAAATTTTAATCGAAATTAAACATTTTTGTGCACAATTATAAAATTCGTTTATCCAAAGATAATTCTCTGCAAAAATTAAATCTTAGTAAATGTTTATTATATTTTACATTTCTGCAAAATAACAGTCGAAAAATTTTTGAAATGAAAGGTATACAATTTTTACATTATTTAAAGGCATGTAATATTACTCGGCAGAATACAAAATGTGATCAAAATTGGTTATATAGATCCTGAGAAATTGAATTTTAAAAATGCCGTACAATTAAAATTTGATTTCTCAGGAACTTTTCGATCGATTTCGCTCAAATTTTGTATTTTGCCTTGTAAAATTACGTACTTTAAAATGATGGAAAAAAATTAAACCTTACAATTTAAAATTTTTCGACTATTTTTTAACAAAATAACAAAAAAAAAAATCTATTTACAAAAATTTATTTTTTTGCCTGGAATTATTTTTGAATAAACGAATTTGATTGTATGCTAACATTTTTTAATTTGCTTAAAAATTTCTGGAGGCATGGAGAAGTGCGCATAAAGTAAAATTAACATTAAGGGGTCCAAACTTTTGATCGTTCTATCCTGACCAATCTATGGGAAAATATATTTGTCAGATTGCGGCTACCCCTACAATTTGGGGATCAGAAATATGAATCTGTTTAAAAAAATGTATGTTTATTCCAAGAAAATAAGTTTTTGTGGCTGATTTCGTAACTTAAAATATCATCTGCACTAATCAACTAGCATATTTGAAGTCACCCCTATGAACCCTGAAGAATTATTCTTAGAACGTAAAGATCCAATCATTAGATGAAATGTTAATCCGTTTATTTTTTTTATTGGCGCTCTGTGCATTTTATTTTAATTTATATGACCGAATCCATAATTTAATTGATTGATTGAATATGGAATTTAATAACAAACCATGCAAATAAGGAAGTGAGAACCGTGGTGGCTCAGGGGATAGATTGTTCACCTTTCAATGAGGTGAACTGGGTTCGAATCTCAGCAATGGCTGGTCACTACGAATTCCGCACCCGGCTCGCTCCAGCCACAGTGCTGACGTAAAATATCCTCAGTGGTAGACGGTTTATGGCTTAGAGCCCCTTGCCTTCAGGCTAACCGTGGGAGGTTTTCGTGGTTTTCGTCTCTAGGTAACACAAAAGTGGGTTAGTTCCATCAAAAAATCCTCCACGAAGGCAAATTTCTCAGAATACTTGATCCAGGAGTTCACTTATCTTGTAGATTGGGTTCAAAATGACAAGGCTACGGAGTTCAACATTGGCAGTCGTAACCCCAATATTGGGTCAACTGTTCAACGACGGTTATGAAATAAAATAAAAACATAAAAATTAAGGATGTCATACGACAAACGTATAGTATAACATGTAAACGAATACACCACATACTTAAAATTGAGTAATATCGTCAAGAAAAACTGATCATTTTAAAAATCATATCGATTCTTATTGCTCCTTAGTATACATAAGTTAAACTAGTGTCTTTCTGACAGTTAAACTTGCAGGTTCTTTTTCAAATTTCCATAATGTGAAATTGATTTCATTCTAAGCTTTTCGCGGCAGAAAACAAATTTATTATCACACATACTTATGCCATATAAACAAAAAACATAAAATAAAATATAGCGAAATAATAGTAAATGACATCCTTCAAAAACCGCTGCGCTACCTCCAAAACATTCTAATCCTCCCCCTCCTCTCTTATTCAATTCTTAAGTTTTGTTGCTATCTCGTGGCGACATCTAGTGGTGGCAAACCTTACATTGACCTACGATAAAATTATTACTTAGGTGATACTGGACCTTGTAACGGATATGTATGTGCATTCGGAGCTTTGTGTGTTCTAAAGAATGGTTTACCTGGTTGTGAATGTCCAACCTGCACCGAAGAGTTCGAACCTGTGTGTGGCACAGACGGTATATCCCATACAAATGAATGTAAAATGAGAAGAGAAGGATGCGAGCAGAGGAAAGAAATAAAAGTCGCCTACAGTGGGCTTTGCGGTAAGTATCTTAGATACCCTTTTAGAAAAGGTTTTTTCATACTTTTTTTTACAGAAAAAAATCTACAATTTGAGTGGCTTTTACTTTGTGAAAAGTTATCTTAAATTATATAAAATACATTTCTGAAAAATAAAGTTTCATTGCTATAGAAGAAAGTGAAGTACTGTTTCCCATAGAAAATTTCAAAGGAGAAAACAATGAAAATAATGAAAATGACAACCGAAGCTGACGTCGTCAGGGGGTACCAGTTCTGGAAGTCAGAAAAACACAAAATCTTTTCTATCGAGAGATCACGACAAATGTCTAAAATTTGCTCTCTCTGTACCCCAAAGGTTTTGTAAAAAGTTCAGGAAAAGAGAAAAGAAATATATAATACGAAAACAAAATACAAAAGTAAATGACATAAACAAATTACAAAAGCAAAACATTGTTTAAGAAACCTACTTAAAAATATTTCAAGCCAAAGAACACAACGTTCTGAAAATTTTTAACCAAACTGAAATTTGAAAATAAACAACGCCCTCATTTAATGCGCAGAAAGAAAAAAAAAGAAAAGAAAAGCAAAAAAAAATAATTCTCAATTTTTCTTTCAGCGCATTAAATGTGAGTGTTGCTCCTGGACTTTTTACCATACTTTTGAGGTACAGAGAAGAACAATTTTTAGATATTTGTCGTGCTCCCTCGATAGAAAAGGTTTTGTGTTTTAACGACGACTTCCGGAGCTTGTAACCCCTGAAGACGTCAGTTTCGATTGTCATTTTCATATTTTCATTGTTTTCTTCTTTGAAATTTTAATAGGGAATTTCTGCTGCATTGCGCAACTTCCCTTTGGAATTATGGTATTTAACTGCTTTATAAATGATTTTGTTACTGTTTCCAATATATTTTTCTCACTTAATTGGGTAAATGCACTCGAAGAGGAAGACAACCAATACCCACGCATATACTCTCTGACGTCAGCTCCAGCTAATCTTTATCAGCAATATTTAGTATTAAAATTGAATTACGTTTTTCCACATAAGTTAGAATGTTAATTAAAGTTAAGTTAATTTAATACAGCACATCGAATGCGTTGAAATAGAATTCAAGTTAGTCTACTTCTTTTACTTAACTTAGATTTATTATTTGTTCATGTATTTTATGGTAACAGTGATATATTTTAGTTTTGTATACCTGGCAACTTCGATTCATAATAAGTTAGCTTATGTTCCACACGGTTTCATGCCTGTCTTTGTGCAAATAAATAGTGGAAGAAAAGAAATCTTTGTGATAGAATATAAGTTTTGTTACTTAAGAGAATTAGAACTTGACATTCTTGGATTACTCGAAATAGAATGCGAAGAACAGTTGTTAATATAAGCAAATGCCACGTTTCAACAACCCATCAGGATCGAGATACCCGCACTACGTCACTTGCAGGTATCCCATTGAATGTGACCAAACACGAATTAAAAGGGTTAATATTTTGAAAGCTACTGTGGGTCTTTTGAGCGTAAAATAGTACTATTTTTGAATTTTACACGGATAAAAATTCTGTTTATATTACAGAACGGTATAGTAATGGCATTTTTGGTAACAAAAAATAACAAAAGTCAAATTATACGGCATTTAAAACATTCATCGGCTCATATTTTAGCTGTTTACCAGAAATTCTAATCTTCAAATTTATAGTTCTTATCATCACACATTTAGTAAATACAGAACTAAAACAAAAATTTAACCGAGTAGATGATTTTTATGCCATGCTGTAAAGTATCATGATAAAATTACCGAATTTTACAGCATTTTCAAATTCGTTCACATACTATAAAATTTTATTTTATTTTTAATTTTACCAAAATCATTGCCAAAGCGTTTTGGTAAAAATCATCAAGTTTTTTGGTATTCCCATAGAGGTGCATTGGTACATTTTACCAAATTCTGGTAGTTTTGAGGATACAGTGTATTTGTTATAAAGAAACCCCATGTGACTTAAAAAATATTTATACTATTGACTTGAATTTTATGTTATTCAATTTAGCATAGAAAATTACATAGGAAAATGTTATTTTATATGCTCAGGCAGACCAGTAGATAGCAATGCAAAAAGTTTACTTCGCGTCAAAAATTGTACTTTTTATACATGAAAGTTGTTGCACTTATTAAACCATTTATTCGATTGACGCGCGAATAGTTTGATTCGATTAAATGTAAAATATACATAGGAAACCATGCCTCACTTATTTAGATAGCTATCTTATATTTTGTAAATGGGTGCAAGAACAATATTTTGTACGTAAAATTGGTTTCATTTAATTTATCGGGAAAAAATGCATCGGGCATAAGGTCTCACTTGCCTTCATAAAATAATAATTCTCCCGCTCAAACCAACCTTTATTTCCCTTAAAAAAAAAGGGGTTGGCTAAAAATAAAAATTAACTTACCTGATAACAAGTAAAAATTGAGATTTTAATATATTTGGCATTTTTGTATGATACGTTAGATGTTGCAAAAAGTTTTTTTTTTTTAATTAAATTTTATTTTACTAGTTTCAGAAATTCTATTTTAGCGTCCATGGTATAAAAAATAGAAAGAAAATAATTGAAAGAAAGTAAAGAGCCTATCTTGAAGCACTTACGTTGTTTTTAGTTTTTAGACATCATTTATAATGGCATAACAAAGTTTTATGTCAAAAATATCTCGGGTATTATTTTTTTCCCGAAGAAACGCTTTTTTGTGATAAGTACTACACTTATTTGAGATATCGTTTTTCTAAATGCTAATATTAAGAAAAAGTATTTAAAATTTTCATCATCATCATCAAAGTTGGCCAGACTACCCAATGTGGGTGAATGCCTTCCTCTGAAGATTTCTCCATAATAACTTCCGATTTATCCTTGATTTCCAATTCTTTTCATTAATTGCAAGAAAATCAGACTCCACCGAGTCAGTCCATCTCAACCGTGGCCTTCCCCGCTTTCTTGTCCCAGTGGGTTTAAAAAGCAGCTTCTTTTTTATTGTATTGTCATCAATCATTCGAATCACGCGGACCATCCAATTCATTCTATTTATTTTTAAATACTTAATAATATTGGGTTGTTTATAAATCTTGTACAGTTCAAAGTTAAATATCCTTCTCCAGTTAATATTTTCATTTACACCACCAAGACTCAACCTCAAAATCTTTCTCTCAAATGTTGCGATACAATTTACTCCCCAGTTTTGTTATTGCCCAAGCTTCAGAATCGTATGTCTATACTGGCCTGACAATAGTTTTGTAGATTAAGAATTTTGTTTTTCTAAAAAGAAACCTATATTTAATAAATCTTCTCAGCCCACAGCTGCCATATTTGTCAGATAGAGTGATTTCAGGAGTCATTCTGTTGTCAATAGTAATAATGGATCCTAAGTTAGTAAAACTCCTTACTGTTTCAAATCTATAAGGTCTCAAGATAGGGGTCTGGAACTCTGTTTCTTGAGAATAACATCTATTTTGTTTTCTCTACATTTATGACTAAGCCCATTTGTCTTGCAGCCACCTCAAGGACAAGAAATGCCTCTTTCATTTAAACTTTTAATAACATAATTTTAGCATTTTTAAAAATCTTGCAAAAAAGCATTTTAAAATTTTTATGGTCATATTAATTAAATGATCTGATCTCTGAAATCTAATTAAACTTCTTAAGTTTGTTTAGTATACATTTAGCAAAAACAAAGAAGAGTCCCAATGTAAAATAATATCAAAATACTACGATAAATATTTTAAAGATTAAGTTTTAGATGTCCTTTAATTCAAAATAATTAAAACCACAATTATTAATCTTATTTGTATTACAGTCCCTGGCTAAATTATTAGACACACTGTAAGGTTCAATGTTAATAATCAGGTGATCCTCTACAACGTTAGTTTTTTTACGCGGCTGAAACCGGTTTACACTTGTTTATATTCGTGTATTAATTGGGTAACATTGTAATGCAATACCATAAAAATGAATGCAAATGGGAAGTATATACAAAAATCTCCTCTATAAGAACCCATTGCATGTATGTTTAAATATAACCCATGCAGCAGAGATAAGTATTAATTACGTGAAAATAACGTTATAATGCCACAAGGTTAAAAGCAAAAAAACGTTTCCACCGAACGTTTTATTTACGTTTCAAGTGGTAGTCTCGAATCCGTTAAATAAACGTCAAAATTTGGGTTATTTTTAACGCAAAATTGACGCTTTTTTGCCTCTAGTTTGACTATGGTGAATTTTGATACCAATTTTTGACGTTAATTTAACGAAGTTTGTTTCTTTTTTATCGTATTTTTTACGCTATTTTAACTAAGTTTTTAACGTGAATTTTCAGTTTTATAAGATCCGTCTTTTTCACNTTCACATAGACTCTTATAGTGCGCCTAATAATTTATTTTTCCAGGGACTGTATATATAATTTTAATTATAAATCTCCTTAATATTCTACATCGAAGAACTGAAAGTTGTTTTTAATATTCATTTAGAGTAGTTAATGTAGTTAAGAGCAGGTTCGGAAAAATTAAGAGTGGCATTTTAATAAGAAAAGTCATACATTCAGGGGCAACAAATTGAATATTTTTATTCCTTAACATTCAAAACTTAACTTTAAATGATTGAAATCAATTAATTCGCTAAGTAACTGTCTAGACGCTTTTAACGCATAAGGAAACTTTAAATTGATTGAATTAAAGAAATATTTCAATAAAGTTTTAAGTTATGCAATAGAAAGTTATTGTAAAAGAATTGTGACCCCCACGAATAAGAGAAAATCTTTTATTTTTGTAAGAAATACTTTTCAATTCGAATGAAAATACTTTTTGTAATAAATAAAGCAAGATGTAAAGTATTAAGAATAGTTTAATTATAATTTAAGCATTTTAACTGAAAACGTGATAAATAATTTTGCGTTTGTACACTGTAAAAAGTTAAGTGTATTGTTGCCACTATTTTTAGTGTTTAGGTCAGAGGTCGCCAAAGTGGTCTATATAGACCCCCAGGTTCGATGGAGATTTCGAAAAATTATGTAGGGGTCAATGATCAAAAAAGTTTGGCAACCCCTGGTTTAGGTAAACGAAATGCATTTTTAAGCACTTCATTCGTTTAAAAAATAATACAGATTAGAAATAACTGTTGACATTTTTCAAGAAGACTTGCCAGATGTGAATGAGAGGAAGCAATAGTGATTTGAAATATAAAATGTAAAGTTGCCAACTGAAAATGGAGAAATAAAAATTAAAGTTAAAACTAGAAAAAACTCAGTAGTCGAGAGAGAATTAAAATAATAGTTATAAATAAAATAAAACAAATCTCGTATATAACAATTCTAATAAAATAAAACAAATCTCATATATAACAAATCTAATAAAATAAAACAAATCTCGTAAAACGTGGATGAGATTTGTTTAATTATTATGTAGCAATTGACAAAATAACAATTTCTTGAAAGAATTAGTGCAAATATTTTACTGAGGATTTACTAGTTCTCTTAAGCAAAAATCTTTTACAAGAGGCCATAAATTGATTATAATACGCATAAAAAATGTTTTCTGTAAATGTTCAAACAAAACATAATAAATAAACTAATAAAACTTAAGCACTGAAAAAGTGAAAAAAAAAATGTGACTACATGAGCTGTAAAAATGTTTTAGTTAACCTTAACACCAAAAATGATGGCAACTATGCACCAAAATTTTTTGCAGTTTACCATTGTGTGTCATGTTGTTGCTCTAAGTATTGAAACGGTAGATAAACAACTCATGTCTTTTTAATAAAAATGGTTAAAAGAATATAGTAATAGATTTTAAACTCATAACCAATGCTTACGTACTTATCTTTCTGTATCAGTGTACTGATGATGTTGCTTTTTCATCCCATCAAATAAGGTGCATATAAACAGCTTATATCATTGAAAGAAAAATTAGTTTAAATGTCCGACTTGTTCTGATGTTATAATAGAGCATCAAGATGCAGAGTTTCATGTTTGTATTATTCTGCGGAAACTGATGCCGTTGCTTATTGGTAAAACTGAAGAGTTCCTGTGTCTTTTTCTAATTCATTTAAAAAATGCAAAGGCTAGAAAGAACACTGGTGTAAGAAATTAAGAGAATTTGCAGACTAGGTCGATTATCTCTAGAACTACAGGGCTGATTTTAATGAAATTTGATCTGTGTATACATTGATACAATACAAAACAAATAACCAGTCAACAATTGTAATACACGAGCATGATCGTGGGTAACACTCGTTGGAGTCGGAAGGTATGAGATTGCCACAGGACAATTCAGGCCAATTGCCACAGGAAGTGATAAACTGCCTTATTTCAAGTATGAAATCACGCTGCAAGGCCTGCTGTAAGAGGAGACCCATTTTTTTTATTAACCCTTTTCTTTTGTTTATTCTGTAACTGCCGCTTCATACCTTCCGACTCCAACGAGTGTTACGCACGATCATGCGTGTTTATTACAATTGTTGAATGGTTATTTGTATTGTATCAATGTATGTACACATCACATTTTATTAAAATCGGTCCAGTAGTTCTAGAGATAATCGACCCAGTCTGCAAATTTTTCTTACACCAGTGTATTTCGTTCTCTTCCAAACAATGTATGTAACGGCTAACATTTTAATTCAATACAAGTGTATAATTTATTTATTCGCTATTCGAATATCATAATCTATTTTAACTCTGTTTTCTTTAAGCTGCTTTATTTCTCTAGCTACAAAAATCGTTGAGATACAGTGTTATATTAAATTCTATAGGTCTTTTTGGAGACTGAATTGTAGCCAGATTATTTAAAATTTAATATCATGTTAATAATACGGGGTTGGCTTTGCTTCTGGATGGATTATCTATTGATATCTCGCTGACTTTGGATCTTTTCCTAAGCTGTAAGTGTCCACCAATAACTGTTCATTCATTTGTAATTCGAAATTTTTGCCTTCAGAACGGGAGGGTTTTTAGATCTCCGTGGATCGGGGCAGTCCAACAGTTTATACCCTAGCAGCAAAATAACTTGGTCCTAATTTTGTCAATATTCACGAATCTTGTGTTAGTGAGGTTTTCAAAGGGCCTTTATTTTTCCGATATTGGCCCTATATAGAATTTTCCTATTCACCCGATATTTTACAGCCACTTTACAACCCGAGTGGAATAAGTAAAACAGAAAAAATCTTTTATTGACTTTTAAAAAACGGTGATATATTTGACCAATGATAATTTGTTTTCCAGATACTTGCAGCCAAACACAGTGTGAATATTCCGCCGTCTGTGATCTGGACAGTAAAGGCCGTGCAACGTGTGTTTGTCCGAAGCATTGTGTTAAGGTACTTATTATTTTACTCATAAAGTACTTGATTTTTTTCATTTATTCATAAAGTACTTGTTACTTTTATTCATGAAGTATTCATAAAGTACTTGAAGATCACTGGGGAAGAAAGGTTTACGCCCATATAAGCTGATGCGGAGAAAAGACGTACCGACCAGAGGGGAAAATTTTTTCAACTGAACGACCCATCTTCACTGCCTATTAACTCTCGGGGAGAACCGATTTTTCACATTATTTTCTTGCTAAAAACTTAGTAATTTTTTTAAATGCAACATACGGTGATCCAATTATCATTTTTGAGAAAAATGACGAAAACCGTTCTTCCTTCTTGATCTTCACTTATTCACTCATTTTAATTTGTTATATTTTAATATATTTTTTTAATGTATTTGGACGAAAAATTCACAGTACATATTTCGTTTGATAGTAAAACTTCAATAACTAATATACAGTTACATTAAAAAGTACCTTAACTTAAAATAATAATAACAATATTTTCCATTTTATAGAGTCTATTTCGAATACTTCAAACTATATGGTAATGTCTTATTTTAAAAAAAAAATAATAAGATAAAAATTTTAACGTGGCTAAGAGGTCAAAAAAAATTATTAAAAACACTAGCTTGAACTTTTATTATCATCTGAATCGCTCTATTAGATTAAAGAATAAGCATAGACTCGATTGAAAATATGTCTTATTGGTCAAATAAATGAATAGTAAAATTAGTTTTTAAAACAAGAGTACTAGAATTATTTTTGAAAATCTAAATATGTTGTTAAACAATAGTTGTATAGTACGCAAATTTAAGAAAACGGACCACCATAGTCCGGCTCAAGGTGAATGGAAAACGGTTTAAGGTGGTCCGTGTTTTATTTTGTGCACTGTACATTTAATATGTTTCTAGAATCCTTTTCACAAATGATTTAATAAAGTATGCTTATCACTCGTTTTTATTATAACATATCAGTTATCAGTTTTTTATTAAATCATTTAAGCTCGTAAAAAACGCAATCAAAATGTCACTACTGAGTAATATAGAGTAAACAATATCAACAACATAAACGTCGTCAATCAGATTGATTGATAAAATTTTGAAGGGTTTCTAAGACTCCCTTTTCAATCCTTTTTCAGAAGGGTTTCGAAGACTACCTTTTCAACCCCTTTTCACAAGGGTTTCGAAGACTCTCTTTTCAACCATTTTTCAGAAGGGTTTCGAAGACTCCCTTCTCCCTTCTGTTTCCTCCACCAATAAAAAAAACACATTTCAGTGGTTTTATTCTCACCTTTTTCAGCAATGATTCGCTAGATATAGGAAAATGCTGTACCAGGTTGTAAGGAAAATGTTCTAATGTGTTGAAATCATTTCACCTAATGTGTAATGTTTTTAATGTTTTAACACCTAATGTTTTTAAATTTATTTGTGACAATTATGATAAAAAATCTTTAATAATTGTGTTTATTCAACGAACTATATAGGTGGAAGCTAAAGTGTGTGGAAATGATGGAATCACCTATCAAAATGAATGCGAGTTAAGAGTTGCTGCATGCACAAAACAACTGCCTATAGCTGTTGCTTCTCTTGGAGCTTGTGGTAAGTTTAAAGATTCGCTTCCCAATTAAATAATTAATTACATCCATAAATTAAGGTTATTCCGAAATTTAACCTACAAATTAAGAGGGGTGATAAAATATCATCTAAAGTATGAGAACTTATGACCAGAAGCCTGGGGTACCAAATCATGGGATTGAGAAGTTGAAAATAACGATAATACATGTAAGTTTTGATTGACACGAAAGTTGGAGGTCAGTTTAAGTTTCCCTTACCTGAATTAAGCAATCTGGAATATCTTAAGTTTACGGAATTTCCTTTATGATAATCTGAGAGATCTCAATCTGTGTGACTTTTCCTTCTTGATAATCAATGTGATCTCAATTTTCATAAAACGTTTTCTTTTTGAAAATCAATGGGACCTCAATCTGTGTGACTTTTCGTTTCTTATAATCAGTGTTATCTCAATTCATAAGACTTTTACTTCTTGAAAATCAATGGGATATCAATTTGTGCAACGTTTCCCTTTTGATAATCAATGTGATCTCAATTCATGAGACTTTTCTTTTTTGAAAATCAACGGGACCTCAATCTGTGTGACTTTTCGTTTTTGATAATCAATGTGATCTCAATTCATAAGACTTTTCCTTTTTGAAAATTAATGGGATATCAATTTGTGCGACATTTCCTTTTTGATAATCAATGTGATCTCAATTCATGCGTCTTTTCCTTTTCCACAATCGGTGTGAAGGAATCGGTGCTAAGGAAAGTCTCAATGCATGAGACTTTCCCTATTTGACAATCAGTGGGACTTTTTCCTTTTCAGGACACCTTAAATCTTAGCTGTTTCCCTGAAAAAGCAACGGAAGATCTCTTAACGTTAATTGCTGACGCTTTCTTCGAGATCATAAGCACGTTTATACTTCATTTCAGACTCCGCATTTTAATTGTTAACTGAGCTTTGAGACAAAAATTAAATATTTGCTTCAAATTTGCTCAAAATTTAGATAGATGCCATCTGTAAGGCATGCTTATTTTACGTCAGGCAGGGATGTTACGAAACAGAACCAGGTTGAACCGCTTTTTTGTCCTCTAATAACAAAAGTTGATGTAAATATTCTTAGAGAAAATGGTTAAAAACAATCGAAACAGTTAAAAGAGTCCACCCATCGCTAGTTATCTATAGTTTCATTTACGCGTTACGTTGCACGAGGTTTTCGCCGTTTTTGTCCATTCAACGAGACTCTAGAACATTTTATATAATTCGTCTAAATAGTTAAGATAATTTATATTATTGCAGATCAATGTATCAATGTGCATTGCAAATATGGTGCACGATGTGAAGATGGTAGATGTGTTTGTCCTACAGAATGCCCCGACAAGTATGAACCTGTCTGTAGTAGTGATGGGTCAACATATCCCAACGACTGCGAGATGAAACGAGCTTCATGTGTACAAACTCAGGAATTGAGTGTATTGTTTTATGGCGAGTGTGAAGATGTTGGCGGATCAGGTGCTGGTATAAAAGGTGAGTTTTAACATTCTAACAGAGAAAAAAAAAATCTGAAATTACATTCAACATGGTGCTTAGCGTTTTTAAAAAGTGCTTAAAGGTGCTTATTGTCGATTTTCGTTTTTTAGAAGCCCTTATTCTTATCTTATCTTATTATATTATAGCTTTTTTTATGGGGTGTTTTTAAAAAGTGCTTAATATTCCCTTTTCGAAAACTGGATTTTTTTTCTTCACTATGTCGATTCTCGCTTCGTATTATGCAAAAGCGTGGTTTTCGTATTGTTCTATTCAACGTTTTCACAATTCATTAAAAAATAATCCATTTCGGCGTACCGTCGGTCCGTAACATATTACAGCGCTAATCATGTTACATAGTTGATGAAATACTAGGGAGCTCGCATGTGCGTCTACTGAGCTGGATTCAGTGAGATTCTTTCCCTCTCATGTGCAACTCTGCTGCATTTTGCAAGATTTTCTCAATTTCAGGCTTCATTTTTCACCCTCTGAAATCGGAACCGAACAATCTCTCGATCTAGAAAAGTTTTCTTTGTTAGAAACTAGTTATTTTATCATGATCATGTAAAGTTTTAGAAAATTATTTTGCATTTTTTTAAATGTATATAGTGCTTAAAAATATTTTTTGAGTGCTTAAAAAGTGCTTTAAAGGTACTTATTTTTTGTTGAGAGATTTGGCTGTACACCCTGATTCAGCTGTGTAATGTGATGCGCTAATATAAGCTATCGCTATTTTTACGCAACGGTGTAATAGATTGAAAGTGCGTTTCAACAGCTTAAAGATGTAATAAATCTATAAGTATATTTTTTAAGAGTCTACTGTATAGAGTGGTGCTTAAATAAGAAAGAGAATCATTGTTCTAACTACATTCAAAAATGAATCAGTGAATTTGATTACTGTCTATTGTGCTAGCAGGTGCTACTTTTCTAAAACGCTACCGAATGTAAGAAGGCAAATTTACAGTTTCAATGATGTAAAAAAAATCATTTACCTGTAATGTTTGTAATTAATACTAAACATACCATAACCGGTTTAATGACCCTTTAAGAACTTTTACATCGAAAATGTGCTTATCATCTTATCGTTTTTGCATATTTGACTACATGACTTTTTCTAACAATTATATAAAGCTAATATACTATAATTTTTTTTTGTTCTTTGTTTGCTTCGAATAATACTTGTCGTATACCTATTTCTACCACAATCGATCATTTGACCGGGAGTACAATTTATTGATTTATAAGGTTATCGGATCAGAAATGACGATACAATGCGTGTTCAACGTATTGCATTCGATGAGTTGCACATTTCTGCAAAGACTGTTAGTTCAATCAGAATAACTGTGAATTCAAATTTCAAGAAAATACCTAAAATTTTGGAATGGCATTTTTGTGTCAGAAAAACTGACAAAAGCTAAATGCTTTGGTAAGTAGCTTACATTTTATTTTGATAGCTTTACTTTATTTCTAACAAACTGTTAGTTTTCACTTAGAAAATGTCGAAGTAATCAAGGCTGCACAAGTTCTTAGAAGAAATAATATTATTTATAAAAATAATTATACGAATTATAATCCTTATACATTCTTATAATTATAAGAATAATTGTAAGAATTATAGAAATAATAATAAGTAGAAGAAATATGTTTGGGGGAAATGTACAATGGAAACACCCTGCATATGTAAAAAGTGCGTTGAGCAATGAATTAATTGTTATTCTTTGTGTTTGCCATACATATAAATGGGCAATATATAATTTTGATTAATTATAATACATTTTTTAGTTTATTTCCTTCCTAACATCCATATTTCTTACATTAAATCAAGAAACATAAAGTCCTGTCATTTGACCGCCGATGGTAGAAATAGGTATACATTAAGTGTTGGTATGTTTAATATTAAAGTGAGAATTCTTGTTAAAGTGAGAAAGTGAGAGTTCTTGGGATCAAATATAAGTATTTACGATATCGAAATCTATCGAATAACTGCCAATAAACGTAGAACAAAGAACACCAAAATTTATTACATAGTTGAATGAGAGTAAAAAAGTGTTTATTTTAAAAATCTTCAAGTCTCCTCAGCAATTAAATTGGTTTTTGTGTTTTTCATTTCGCATTTTTCTACCATGATCAGACATGATTTATTAACGTTCTTATTATTTCCACGCTTAAATATTAATTGGTGTTGAATTTGGCTGTCTACCAAGAATGAAATTAAGGAATACCTTAATATACATTTTGGCTAAACAACATTTTTGGCTAAACAACAACATTTTTGGCTAAAATTATCTGAATAGAAAATGAAGTATAATTTGTTTATTTTTATATATGTTACCGGCAAAGTTTGAAATCCAGCATTCTATAGAATGCCTAGGCATTGTATATAATACTGGATGTTTTTAGGCAAGGTATGAAATAGGAGAAGTATTACATACTTTCCTTAGGCATTGTATTTAATACCTAGGCATTCTGTAGAATGACAAATGCTATTTAGGCAAAGTATAAAAAAATCACCCTGATGAGGTAATGTAAATGATGTGCATTTCTTAAAAATAAAAATGTTATTCTGAAAAAATAATGAGAGTGCCACTAAAAATTTTTTATTCAAAACGCGTAAAGAAAAAGTTGTACAAAACATAATTTATGCCTTTCTTATTAAGGGAAACAAAATTTTCATGTAAAAAATAAGAAATTAACCTACTAGTTGGATAACATGGCAGGCTTCAATGACATTTTGAATTTGACATTTTGACGAATCAGAGATGTATTTTATATTTTGCCGGTTTCTCATTTGGCATTCTATAGAATGCCTAGGAAATGTGTGAAATATAAATCGTTTCATACATTGCCAGCTAGTTTTAGACATTATATACAATTCTTAGGCATTCTATAGAATCCCGGCTTTTCATACTTTACCGGTAACATTTGCATTATTAGATTTAAATTTTGTTAATAGAAGTTTGGTAGAAATTTTAGAATCCCTTTCCAGGTGCTAAATCTACAGAATCAGGCTCGGGTAATTTCGCCTGCGAAGAAGAGCCCTGTAAATTTGGCGGTATTTGTGACTATGATTCTGAAGGGATGCCTCAATGCATTTGTGCTTTTGAGTGTCCACCCGTGAAAGAACCAGTGTGTGGATCGGATGGACAATTTTATGACAGTGATTGCAAACTGAGAGAACAGTCCTGCAAATCTCAGAAAAAGATTATTGTCGCCGCCAGGAATAGATGCCAAAGTGAGATTAATTTATTCCAATTCTAATTTTTAACTCACATTAAAATACAAATAATTTATGTTTCGAAACAAATATTTTATTCGGGATACAAGATTATAAAACAAACATTCAGCGTTAATCTTTTCATTCCTACCTCTCTCCCTATGGAAATTTCAATCCATAACTGTTGCAATCCTTTTGCAAGTAGAAGAAGGTAAGTGGTGCTGGTTAGCATTTTTCTGAAATCAGAAACAGAAAACGGAGTTCATTTTATATTATATTTGAGCAGTCGACCCACTTTTTGGGTTTACGACAACTCATGCTCAACTCCGTAGCCTTGTCATTTTGATTCTATTCAGAAGACAACAAAACTCCTGGGTCAGTACCCCCAGAGGCATGATTTTTTATGGAAACATGGAGGGCTTTGTGACTCGACAGATTTAACGTGCATTAGTCACCATATACTACACGAGGAGTAAATGTTGACTGATGCACTTATACACACAATTTACCCACGACTTCTTGGACATGGGCCCAGGTTTTTCGATTTTAGAATTGGAAAATCGAAAATAAAGTATTCCTTTTCAAAGTGCATTTAAACATTTTTCAGACGCTACGAGTTTTTTTGACGCCTGGAAGTGGTTCGCATAATTTAGAATAGAAAAATGCTCGTGTATTAGATACAAATCAACGTCTCTTACACTTTAAAAAACATCAGTGTAAGAAACATCGGATAATGGCTTTTTACCTATAAAACATCCATGTACGGAATGTCGGGCATAAGGATATCGAGTAATTGCTTTTAAACCGTAAATTAGATTAGTGTAAGGAATACCAGACAAATGTAGGGCAGGTTAAACACTTGTCACCCTAAGATATCAGTTATAGTTTTCAAAATCTACAAAAGGAATGTAGCAGACCACTCCCTATAGGGAGACTGCTTCGATTTGTATGACTACGTTGCATGATTGTTGTTTATCTTGCATCCTGGGTGCAAAGATTTTGTCTTGTTTTCCTTACTTAACTTAACGTGAACTTAAAGTGATATTGAAAATTCTTGTCGGATCTTTATTCCTTTACAAGTGTTTCATTTTCCCCAAAGAGCTGGTCACAAATGATGCAACGCTTTGTGGTTTATAAAATTAAACCAGTTTCTGGCAAGGGTGAGGAACGAGATTACAAGTGAACAATTACTCATTTTTATTGTAATAAAAACATCTAAAATCAGCAAATTAAATATTTTATATTTTTAATTTGCATATTTTTTTCCTCAACATCTAATCATTATTAATGTTATGCTTTCAAATGTCTATAAATCATATATCTACACTTGAAAAGTATAATTTGAAATATCATCGATATCATGAGTATGTGTTTGAACTAAACTGCTAGTGGGTCTTTACATTATATAGAGTGACAAGAACAAGTAGGGATATGGGAAGTATGACAATTTGTGACACTGAAAAAGAGGGGATTAGGGTAGAAGTGAAGTGTAAATGATCCCAATTTTAAAACACTATCTGACAACCTATTTAAACTACCACTTGGAACTACTTATTTACATGTTCTTCATTCTAGATGTTTCGCTTTAATTTGCATTCGATAAATTTCTCAAACATTTTTAAATTTTCTTTTACACATTTTTTTTTACATTATAAAAGAGTAAAATATGAAATTTTATTATTTTAATTTCTGATTTTCTTTTTCATTTCCAATAACAAAAGTTATTAAAAAACGATAAACCATAGGATGCTCTTAAATTTTTTTTGTAAATAATTAAGCATAATATTTCCGTTTGCATCAAAATTAAGAAAGAAATTTTTTTTTAAAATTTTAAATGTAAAGACTTATTTAAAAACTTTTCTAAAAGATTTGTGTATAAGTATGCGTTGTACAGCACAACAGCAAAAAAAAAAAAAATACTTTAAAACAATACATGCATTTATTTTGAGAAAATCATAAAATTTTATAAGTTTCAAAGATTTTGCCCGGGCTTCTATAATTAATATTAAAGTAAGTATAAGTATCATAAAAAGATCCAAAAGATTTGTGAAAACGTTCGCATTGTACAGCACAACAGCGAAAAAATAACTTCAAAACAATCCATGCATTTATTGTAAGAAAATCTAAACATTTTATAAGTTTCAAAGCTTTGATCCAGGTTTCTGTAATAATTAAAGTATAATTATTAAAGTAATGATAAGTTTGATAATAAGAATCAGCCTTTTAAGCAAAGCTTACTAACTTTTCTGTTTTATTTTTATGTGTTATCATACTAATATATTCTATCTTACATTAGATAATAGGCATCTAAATGGGATCTGAATATAAACAAACGAAACACCGTATTTATGGCAACATAAAAATATATTCAAAGGAATGCCTTAAAATAAGAGTTTTATTTCATGGAATCGTATTTATGATAGTTTTTCCGTTTCAAATTGATGTTTACAATGGCTGTTTTATGTATGTTAACTTCTCTTTTCGCTTGTTTGAACATTTCTGTTTTCTAAATTTAAGATACACCTGAGTCTTTTGTTGGAATTTACGACTGAATATATCTAGGTTTGGGTTTTTGAGGATATTTTCTTGGATATCCTTCAATTTTTCACTTTGATCAAGGTTAGGATATTTTTGTTTTAGAACATCTGTGCTCAACAACAAATGTTTCTTGTGACCTTATAACATGTCTATAGATAAAAAAAGTATGGATGCAATATAAACTTTCTTTTGGAGATGGATAGTGTAATATGTTTGACAGAAAAAAAACTGAAAGAAGAAAGAAACAATTTCAATTTCAGTTCGATATGCCGGGAGCTATTATTTAAAAATACTAATGGTATATAATTCTTTTTCTGCAGGTTGAAAGATGTAAATTCTAAAACACGGATTGATTCATTAATACTATTAAACATAAAAACAAAACTGATAATATCTTGACTTACAACTTCCGGAGTTGATATCCGACAGCTTGACAGTATCGTTTCCTGACTGAATCCGAAAAGCGACCCCAATTATATGTGATCAATTCAAATGTAGATATTATATTAATTTCAATGAAATTAAAACTTTCATTTGAGAATCAAATTTTTTGGAAACATGGGAAGAAACGGGGAAATTGTATTCTCATTCTTTTATTATACGCTGGTGTATATAAGAAACATTAAAAGAAATTGCAGTATCTAGAACTACTGGACCGATTTTGATGAAATTTGATATGTACATACATTGATACAATACAAAACAAATAACCATTCAACAATTGTAATACACACGCATGATCGTGCGTAACACTCGTTGGAGTCGGAAAGTATGAAATTGCCACAGGGCAATTCAAGCCAATTGCCATAGAAAATGATAAACTGCCTTATTTCAAGTATGAAATCACGCTGCAAAGGCTGTATATCTGTAAGAGGAGACCACACCCCCCTCTTAACTCAACTTTTTTTTGTTCATTCTGCTACCGCCGTCTTATATCTTCCGACTCCTACATGTGTATGAATGGTTGTATTGTACCAATGTATGTGCTCGTCGAATTTCATCAAAAACGGTCCACTAGTTCCAGAGATAATCGAAGTCTAAAAATTCTCGTCACTTCTTACACCGGTGTCTATATTTATTTTTTTAATTTTATCACATTTAACCATTATTTCTAAGACTAAGCAACTATAAAATTGAATTAAAATCTTATAAATGCGTTTCATGATGGAATCCTTGCATTAATTTTCTGTGCAAATTCATTTGCACACTTAGTGATAATCAATTATTTACTATTAAAATATAATTTGTGGAGGTATTATTCCAGTTTTATAAAGCAAGTATTGGTAGAGAAGACATTTCTGGTTCATTTGCGTCTTAGTGATGACTGCATATGTTATTTTAAATAAAAACTTGATTTATTATCGAATATTTTTAATGTTAAACTAATAGGGTCAGATCAGAATAAAAATAGGTAGTCATCAGAAGAGATACATTTTTATATGACAATTTTACCTAGCAACAATTTTACCACGGCCCCAGTTGGGTTCAAAATTGGCTCGACATGGGCCCTATAAGAACATGCAATGCGGGACCAGTATTGGGATGCCTAGATTTTTGGTCCTAGTATGCCGATATAGGATAATGTTGGTCCTAGAATGGCATATAGGTTATACATTGGCCAATATCGAATCTACATTGGCTAAATAATGGATACAAAATATCGGAATATCGGGTGAATCGGAAAATTCTATATAGGAGCGATATGGGTTGTAAAGTGGCTGTAAAATATCGGGTAAATCGAAAAATTCTATATAGGGCCATATCAGAAAAATATAGGCCCTTTGAAAACCTCACAAAGACAAGATTCGTGAATATTGGCAAAATTAGGACCAAGTTATTTTGCTGCTAGGGTATGAACTGTTGGACTGCACCGACCCACGAAGATCTAAAAACCCTCCAATTCTGAAGGCAAAAATTTCAAATTACAAATGAATGAACAGTTATTGATGGACACTTACAGCTTAGAAAAGGATCCAAAGTCGTCGAGTTATCGATAGATGATATATGCAAAAGCAAAGCCAACCCCGTATTATTAATATGATATTAAATCTTAAATAATCTGGCTAAAATTCAGTCACCAAAAAGACTGTTAGAATTTAATACAACACTGTATCTCAACGATTTTTGTAGTTAGAGAAATAAAGCAGCTTAAACGAAACAGAGTTAAAATAGATTGATAGATTATACACTTGTATTAAATTAAAATGTTAGCCGTTACATACATTGTTTGGAAGAGAACGAAATACACTGTTGTAAGAAAAATTTGCAGACTGGGTCGATTATCTCTAGAATTATTGGACCGATTTTAATAAAATTTGATGTGTACATACATTGATACAATACAAATAACCATTCAACAATTGTAATACACACTCATGATCGTGCGTAACACCCTTTCGAGTCGGAAGGTATGAAACGGCAGTTGCAGAATAAACAAAAGAAAAGGGTTAAAAGAAAGGGTCACCTATTACAGCAGGCCTTGCAGTGTGATTCCATAATTGAAATAAGGCAGTTTATCATTTCCAGAGGTGATTGGCCTGAATTGTCCTGTTTCAATTTCATACTTTCCGACTCCAACGAGTGCTACTCACAATCATGCGTGTGCATAACAATTATTGAATGGTTATTTGTTTTGTTATTGTATCAATGTATGTAACTACGTATCAAATTTCATTAAAATCGGTCCAGTAGATCTAGAGATAATCGACTAAGTCTGCAAATTCTCTCAAGTTCTTACACCAGTGTATTTATATTCGCTTTTTATGAAATGTAATAAAATATAATAATTGGTGTCATTTAATTATATTTGGATTAAGAATGATTGAAAAAAAATTAAATTTATGAAATTGAAGAAGTTTTATAGGCTAGGAAATATGCAATGTCTACGATGGCGTCACAGATTTTTTTTTCTATTTTTTTAAAAAAAAATTAAAAAACAAAATTACAGTTTTCTTATGATGCAGATTTATTAAAAAAAAATGCTGGGAGAAAATCCTACATATTGAGAACACCAAAAAAAGTACAAAAACATGAAGTGTTTGCGCAAACATAGTTACGAATTTTCTTTTTATTTTAAGGATATTATTCGAACTTTTTTTTGAGTAGAGACCTATCATCGCGTTTTTAATTGAAAGTTTAAAAAGAAGGTACTTTTTTTTTAGTTTTAATCAATGCTTTAGAATTAATTATAAGCTCTACACCTTTTCAGATAATCTTTATTAAAATCTTCGTTTATAAAAACTAAAAATTTTGATTTTAGTGTTTTGTTCCTTTCTTTTAATTGAGTATTAAAATCTGTTCCAAACTAAAACCTAACATTTCGTGCATATTCTTTTATTTGGGCAATTATAAAAAAGAGATAAAAAAAACTTTTGTATTTTTAAAGTTCACTCATATTTTTTAAAATTTGTTTTAAAATTTTAGTGATTAATAATAAAAATTACTTAGAATTTCATTTTTTTTAAATTTAATTTTTAATGTAAAATTAATTAAGTTTTGTTGACTGACTTCGAACTATACTTATAACTTTAGTTCTTATAACTAAAATCGTTGAAAAAATTACTTGAGAATCGGTTTTTTAACAAACTATTCATTTCCTTTTTTTAAATAAACTATTCATTTTAATTTTTAAAACATTATTCATTTCATTAGTTAAACAAACTATTGAAATTAAAAAAAAATATTAAATTTTTCTTAGTAAATTTAAAAAAATTTCCTTTTAAACGCATTTTAGTTTTTTTTATAAAATAAATATGCACAATGAAATGAAAATTAATAATTTTTTCTATTTTCAATAATAATAAAAAGAACAGTTTTTACATCCCTCTTAACAGTTTCTAAACCATGAAATACGGAATACGGCAAACGCAGCTAGCATTGCTAAATGTCCTTACTATAGTATAAAATTAGTTTTCAACTTTTCGAATAATTAATTTTTCAGTCTTACATGTAGTCTTTCTCTAATTGTTTTAAAACAAATTGTTCAAGAAACTTATTAAAAAAACTATTTTGTGTGATTTTTGCATATATTATTAAACATTATTTATACACTGACAGACTTTAGTGCACGTCGGCTAGCATGTCGGCTAGCATGTAAGGATAAAAAATTTCATCCCCGATTTAGAATTTTGCCTTCCCCTGACAAATTTTGTAAATGATATGTATACACAGTCGGATTTCTATTTAACGAATTACCATTTTGTGAATTTCTCTATTTTGCGATTTTTTTCGAGGAACAAAGAACATTTTGGAAATTTTTTCATAAAATAACTTCGAAATAGCCAAGTGAATTTTCTATTGAACAAACTTTTCTTTTGAGATCCATTTTCTCTATTTCCCAAAATATTTCAAACTTGTTAACATATTTTATGGGGGAAATGACCTTGAATTGATTTTTGGAGAAACTTAACTTTTAGAGAGAACAGTAAAATCTCTTTCCCGTTTTGTTCGCGTTTCAAACAAAAAAATTCAGACAAAATGAACGGATTTTATGAGTAGCAATTAAACTTTAAAACGCATGTAGTAATGTATGTTTAAAGTTATTTTTATAATAAATGTAGCTATATTTTTATGCATTAATTAAAATTTTTTAGGTGAAAATGTATGTAGCATGACAGTGTAACACTGAATGATGTTTTGCTCCATTCTTGTTTTCCATGCAGATTTCTTTTATGGTTAAGATTTGAAAAATAATAAATAGTAGATACTAGTTTAGAAGATAAAGGTGCATCCATTGCTATTTTAATGATACCTAGTTTTTTATGAATTTAAAACCTGTTTTGTGTTGTTTAAGTATTTCAAAAGGTGATTTTCTATTTAACGAATTTTCCATATAACGAACTTATTATCGGGATTGAGCGACTTCGTTCAATAGGGGTTCGACTGTATTCATCTAGATTAATCTGATTTATATTTAGCATGTGTCAGTATTTTTAAAAATGATTTTCTAATATCTTATATTAACACTGACTTATATAGCATAAAATTCGTTTTAAAAATACTGGACGCAACTTATATATAAAGCATACATCGAAGAATTTATGATTAAAAATAGATCACATTTATTGTCGACAGTACTACAAATATTAAGAAAATATTTGCTATTCCATTCACCTAATAAAAGAAACAAATTTAAAATAGTTCTTTCAAACATCTTATAAATTCTATTCATATTTACAAAGAAATGCTAAAATGTAGCTAGTCTTAAAATAAAAATGCATTAGTTTTTCCATTCATTTTTTTTCTAATTTTTTAGATATCTTGTTTTGCAATTCACAGTTAATGAATACTAAAAGGGAAACCTGTTTTAAAGCATGTTTTATTCATGAAGGAAAATTTGCACGTTAGCGAAAAAGTCTTGTTTAAAATTTAAATGCATTTTGTTTAATATATAAACCTAAAGAATAAGGCTTAGAAATAAAACACACGCTACTTAAACTTTTCTTGTTGATTTTGTTCCATTTTAATTACTCGATTATTTAAAATTCTTGCTCGGTATTATGTATTCATATTTTTGACACTTAAACGCTATTTTTACTATAGAAGCATAAGAGAAAAACTATTTTTACAATTTCTTTTCAGTAGAAAATATGAAACAGGATTTTTTTTTCTGAAAGAATGGATGAAATCACCTACAAAAGTTAATCACCTAACTCTTTCATCAGAGATGAAAGAGACAAGATATTTAGAATAAAAATTATTTAGTATGAGAATTTAAAAGCTCTTTTTTTTAATTGATATGAGGTTTTTAAACAAATGTTAAAATTATTTTTGCGATTTTTTTAAATTATTCGATTATTTAATGGCTTTATTTTTAGAGTTTAAGATTTTTATGATTTTACTAAATATTTATAACTTCTTTTGTCTCTTATAAAGTGGGTAACATCGCTTTTAAAGCGATTTAGTTTCGGTAGTTGAACTGTAATTATAATTTGTGTGTATGAATAATGTAATGATTAAGTTTAGTGTGTGTAATTTTTTTTTTTTCGAATCGTTTTCATTCTTTTATTTTACGAAATTTTATCTTTTTCTAAAGTGTCACCAAGTTTGCAGGGAGAATTAGGCATTAATAATTTCTTTTTGACTTAGATAGTTGGCAACACAGCTTAGGTTGTAGGATTTGCCCGCGGCGTTTGCTGCTGTTTATATTTCTTTCATTCTGTATAACTGTTGTTTTTTTTTAATACGTAACTGTTAAATATTTTTATTTCTTGTGATTACGATCACTAAAGATTTTGCAAAAGGAGTATGATTTAAATATTTTAAAATTGCTGGAAAAAATTTTAAACACGATTAAAAATACGTAAAAAAAATCTCCCCCATGTTGCAAAAACACAGAAAATATCTTCAATCTTTATCTACCAGTGCATAATGATACCTCCTACCATAAATAAACACTTTAAGTAACACATTAAGTAACACCATAATTAACACAAAAGTGCATAGATACAAAAAAATGCATACAAAACTAGTGCATAACTACAAGGTCAACAAAAAAAATTTTGTCGCAAGTATTCGTATTAAAAAGCTCTTTGCACTTCAAGTATTTTAAAATGCTATTTAAACTAATTTAATCACTAAATCATTTAAAATACATAATACAATGCTTTTATATAATCTTAAAATAATTGATTACTGATTACTAATAAATAAAAATTTTAATTTTCAGGGATTTTAAACCTATCAAAAAAGACATCAAAGTGTTCAATTATTGTGATTATTTAAAAAAAATTAATTTCGATTTCAATATCTTAAATTGAATTGCAATTTAAATTAAAGTTTTGTAACTAATGTTAGTTAGTTTGGAGAACATTAAAAATAATTCTGATCATATTACGTTACAAAATAATTATGTCAAATGGAAGTCAACTCGGTTTACAGGATACAGCTGGCAACTTTCAACTGTGTGCCGGTATTATTTACTTGGAAAACGCATGAAATTTAAGTTACTGCCAACTGAACATTTTAATCGAATTCGACTGCTTAAGTTTATTTTATTGCTTAAGTTTATTTAATTTTAAATATTTAATTTTCAGAAAGAGAAGAAATTGCTTGCGACGGTGAGAAACCACTGATCAATCCGGTCTCTGGCAAAGACTACCATTGTGGCGAAGGTCCGGATTCCAAAAAATGTCCACCCAGTAGCTATTGCCACAAAACAACTGAATTCGCTAAATGTTGTCGAGAAGGTATGGGTTTAAATTTCACGTAGTAAATAAATTCATGTATTTTATTTCATTTGCTGGAGCAAAACTAATTTTCATTATTAATAATTAATCACCCAATTTCATTAAGTTAATTCAAAATTAAATTGCTATTGATTCTAGTTGCAATTGAAAAGAGCTGTGCTGATTCAATCCACGGTTGCTGCCCTGATGGAAAAACAAAAGCACAAGGTCCTGAGCAAGCTGGATGCCCTAGTAAGTACTATTCACCATACATATGCATATATATAGTCACGCCAACATCTGATTCATTTTAAATAACTTGGTACTCGAAGAACTGCATGTTTTAGGGGTATTTAAAGTGAAAGAACTCATGGATCTGATCTGATTTATATTCTGGAAATACGTACCTCTCAGAATCTACGTGGATACGTACCATCACCATATGTTCATGCAATAAGTCATATCTATTGTGTTTACATAGAGGGTGTAGCAAAACTAATAGTTGAAACTTGACGGTAAATGTGGGAGATAAAATGCCGACGATGTCAACCTTCATCTCTTTAAAGGTACCTCAAGATAGAATCCAGTTAACATATGTAACAATCCCTGGCCAAATTATTAGACACACTCTAAGATTCTATGTAAAATCTTAATTATCAGGTGATACTATACAGCTTTATTGTTTTTACGCAACTGAAACCGGTTTGCAATTGTTTACATTCGTGTATCGTTTGGTTCAATTAGACGATATATAATGTAAAGTCGACGATTGAATAAATCAGACAATATAATTATATAAATATAGAATATTTGTTCTATCAGGCATTATATTAGTATTTTATAATAATTATACTAAATTATTAGACGCACTGTAGTGTTTTAATAATAACATGTTTTGCACGATTTTATGGGCAATACTTTTATATTTAAACATACATGTAATGAGTTTTTATTCAGGATATTTTTATATACTCCCATTTTGTATTTATTTTCAACGTATTGCNAACTATAACTTGACGGTAAATGTGGGAGATAAAATGCCGACGATGTCAACCTTCATCTCTTTAAAGGTACCTCAAGATAGAATCCAGTTAACATATGTTACAGTCCCTGGCCAAACTATTAGACGCACTATAAGATTCTATGTAAAATCTTAATTATCAGGTGATACTATACAACTTTATTGTTTTTACGCGACTGAAACCGGTTTGCACTTGTTTACGTTCGTGTATCGTTTGGTTCAATTAGACGATATATAATGTAAAGTCGACGATTGGATAAATCAGACAATATAATTATATAAATATAGAATATTTATTCTATCAGGCATTATATTAGTATTTTATAATAATTAGACCAAATTATTAGACGCACTGTAGTATTTTAATAATAACATATTTTGCACGATTTTATAGGCAATACTTTTATATTTAAACATGCGTGCAATGGGCTTTTATTCAGGAGATTTTTTACATACTTCCTTTTTGTATTTATTTTTAACGTATTGCATTACAATGTTAACCCATTGATACACGAATATAAACAAGTTTCAAACCGGTTTCAGTCATATAAAAACAATAAAACTGTATAGTATCACCAGATAATTAAGATTTTACATAGAATCTCATAGCGCATCTAATAATTTCGCCAGGGACAGTATATACTAGTGAAATCATTTTTATAATTGTTGTGGTAGTTACATCACAATACAACCCCACCAGAAGTTTATCTAGCTGAACGGGTACCACTAATTGATGTATATCTGAAAAACCGGGAGAGCTGTCTTCAGGTCACCGGTATGTGTTAAGTTCACGTATGTGTGCGTGGTCACTATTAGCTGTGTTGCTATTAGCAGTCGAGTGTGTTAGGATCCCGTTGTGTGTAAATGAGACTGAGAAGCAACAGCGTGAAGAGGACAATGACGCAGTCACAAATGGCAAGTCACCTGTACCAAGTAGACCATCCATCGAAGTAGGCGTGATCATACTGCTTCCAAATGTCACCAATGGGGGGTGGGATAGAATGCCGACGATGACAACCTTCATCTTTCTAAAGATACCTTTAGATGGTATCTAGTTAACATGCGTTAAATACTAGTGAAAGGATGTTTAATAATTGTAGTGATAGTTACGCCACTGTAACTATAACAAAACTTCCCAACTTTTTTCAAGTGGGGCGTCAGAAATCAAAGGGCGAATTTAACTCCTTTTACACAAATAATGAATACCAAATTGAAAACTATTGAAAAAATGCCTCTGTATTTGACCACCAGCAACACAGACTACATATGGAGTGAATCACGTTCATTCCTAGCATTTTACTAACTTCAACGTCTGCGATGGGTAAGTCGTACTTAAATTTGATGGACGTTTCGTGCACAGTGGTCTTTAGATATCATCAAAAAAAATTATGTTAAGACTACTTTGGAAGGCCAAGATACGGGCCCCCACCACCAATCAAACTGCTCGGAAAGGTAACAGAAATAAGGATTCAGCAAGCAAGCACTCTCTCAAGCTTTGCCCTTTGTTTACTGGTAAAAAATAAATCCGGTAAATTTTACGTATGGTATGATAATGACATTTCAAGTAAAAACACAAGATTCTGGTGGTAAAAACCAAAATATAAGGTATTTAAACCATTCATTTGGTAATTTTTCTGTGCATACTGTACGATTTACCTGAAATTTTGGTTTTCAAAATTCTAATTCTTATTATCATACATTTAGTAAATAATACCAAACTGAAAAGTAAATTTTACCAAATAAATGGTATTTATGTCTTGTTCTGAGGTTTCACACCAAAATGACAACACTTTATCACTTTCACCAAATTTTATCGCATATTACAAAACCATATTTTATTGTTAGTATAACGTACATTGCATATACGTGCTATTATCGTACATTTATACAATGAATGTACTTACGTACATAAATGCATGTATACGTACATACAATATTTTTACATACGTTCATACATATGCTGTCTGTGTTTACGAACATACAAAACATTGCATTTGCATACAAACTCATATATGCGTACATGTAACATAAATGCACGCATTTAAAAATTATGTGTGCTAAGCATATGCGTATTGCATGTATTATGCATATTACAATGTAATTATGTACATTGTAAGTATAAACAACGTTTGTACAAACATTGTACATGTATATATAGGAATCAAAAATTGTATGTACATGCATGCGTACATTCTACGTACATAAAAATATGCAACCCCATACATATTTACATAACGTATTTACTTATAGTATGCAATCGTAATTACTTTTAATCGTATAGTTGGATTACACGCAATCAAAATTACTTGTAATCACGATTACATGTAATCATGATTACCTGTAATCATATATTTTGATTACTTGTAATCATAATTACCCGCAATCGTTTTTATTGTGATTACTTGTAATCGCAATTACTTGGAATTATGATTACAGTTGTAATCATACTTTTGGTAAATTCTAATCACTATTACAAGGAATTGACTACTGTTATCGAAAAATATAATCGATTACATTTTTGCCCAACTCTGGAAAGTTGTTTCAGAATGTTCTATTATTTGCTTGTGTATTATATGACCATTGTATATGTAACATTCAGTATAACCATATAATAACTATTTTTCTCCTACCTTTTAAAAATTTTCCTACTTTTTAAATTTAACCGAATTGCAAACCTATTGCAAATGTTGAGGTAATTAGTAAACGCAAGTTACCTCAATATATAATTCATGAATTTTAAGAATAATGTTTTCTGAAACAGGTAATGTTTCAAATGCATGTCTTTCCAGGTCAATGTAATTGCAATAGGTTAGGGTCGTTTAGCCTTACCTGTGATCCTGCAACAGGTCAGTGTCCTTGCAAACCAGGAGTCGGAGGTCTCCGTTGCGACAGATGTGAACCAGGATTTTGGGGACTGCACAAAATATCCGATGGAAGCAGTGGTTGCTCACGTAAGCAAACTAAATTTATACAACTGATTCTAGAGAGTCATGATGGCTCAGGGGATAAAGCACTCGCCTCCCAATGAGGTGACGCGGGTTCAATCCCAGCGATGGTGGGTCGATTTGAATTCCGCACCCGACTGGCATCGAACACAGTGCTAACGTAAAATGTCCTCAGTGATAGACGGATCGTGTGTTAGAGCCCCCTTGCCATCAGGCTAATCGTGGAAGGTTTTCGTGGTTTTCCTCTCCATGTGACGCAAATGTGGGTTTGTTCTATCAAATAGTCTTCCACAAAGGCAAATTTCATGATCCAGGAGTTCCCCTGTGTGCCAATTTTTATCAATAATATTGCCAATGCCAATTTTTATTAATAATATTGCCTAGAGAATTCCGCATCCGGCTTGCACCGACCATGGTGGTGACGTAAAATATCCTCAGAGGTAGACGGATCATGGATAAGAATACCCTTGCCATCAGGCTAACCGTGAATGGTTTTCATAGTTTTCCTCTCCATTAAATGCAAATGCGGGTCAGTTCCATCAAAAAGTTATCCACGGAGGCAAATTTCTCCTAATACTTGATCCACGAGTTCCCTTGTCATCTGGATTGGATTCCAAATTTCAAAGCTACGGAGTTGAACATTAGTAACCGTAAAGTCTAAATTGGGTCGGCTGTTCAACGACGGTTGTAAAATAAAATAAAAAATTTCTTCTAGAAACATAAAATTCAATTTTTTATGATTCGATGTGTTCGGTTCTAATAAAAAAAAATTCGACATGTCTCGTTATAATTTTCAAATATTAATGCAACTTAGGATATTTTTTGAAATTGAAGAATTTGTGAGTTTTAAAATAATAGCAATGATTTTCCTGTGGCATGGTTGCTAAGAGTGAAACTCATAAATCTGGCTGAAAGTTAGAGATCAATAATTTCTCCTAAATCCTGAGAAAAGATCTAAATTGCATATGTTACCGTGTATGACCGAAATGAAGACTCTCACCGGTGAATGTTGACAATCGCAAAGTCGCTTTGGTGAATGTCCGCAATATTTGTTATATCTGATTTGATGTTCTTGATATTATTATATTTATTCCATATTTTAATATCTGCTGAGGATAGATTTGGAGAGACAGCAGTGTTCGGCGTGCTGGTTAAATGTATACCGGCCAGTGGCACTGAATCTTAGAAGAACATTGATGTAGGGTATATCGGGCAAATGTATACCGGACAGTGCCCGTATACATTTCGCATTGACTACATCAATCCCTAATTTCGTCGACGCTCGTACCATGAATTTGTGGAAAATTAATCTCGGAAAATGGATTAAAAACTTGGGCAAAAATGTTATCCTAGGGATAAAATTAAACGAAATTTGTTACAAGCTGCAAGGCTGTTTTTAAAAGGATGTGTTATCAAATGAAATATCACTTTTTTCTAAATATTATACAATTTTGTGGTTCAATGTATTCCTATATACCTAATTGAGTATTTAGGAAGAAAAGTAAAAGTAAAGTAAAGTATTGTTAAATAAAAAAGTATTGTTATTGATTTTTAAAAAGTATTGTTGTTTATTAAAAATCCTCGCATTGAACTTTAAAAAAATAAATGAATGTTTAACAACCATCCTTAAATTTGATAATAAACTCGGAGATTACAGTGTTTTAAAAACATTCACCTTATTTATTTCTTACATTAACTCGTAGGTAATCGGTGTTTAAATGTTGCGTGATTTCCTCACTCGGAAAATTTCCCCCTTTTCCTAACTATGGCTTCGGAAAATTTTATTTTATCTCCACGTCAGCATATTCCAAATCCTTACTGAATGAGGTGAACCGGGTTCGAATCTCAGGGGTGGCTGGTAGTCACGTCACGAATTCCGCATCCGGGCTGCACCGACCACAGTGCTGACGTGAAATATCCTCAGTGGTAGACGGATCACGGGTTAGCGTACCTTTGGCAACAGACTAACCGTAAAAGGGTTCGTGATTTTACTCTCCATGCAGCGCAAATGCAGGTTAGTTCCATCAAAAAGTCCTCCACGACGGCAAATTTCTTCCAGTACTTGATCCATGTGTTCCTTTGTCTTTTGGATTGGGTTCGAAATGACAAGGCTGAACGTTGGTAGTTGTAAATCCAAAAAATTGGGTCGGCTGTTCAACGACGATTATAAAAATAAAATAAAAAAAAATACTTGTTAAAGTGTGCTGGTGGGGGAGGGTTAATGCAAGATTTAGAAAAGCTAAAGTAAGGTTAAGGGGTAATGTGCAGAGCGTGAGGAAATCGCATTACTTTCAAATGTTACAAAAAAATTGTTATTTCAGCTTGTGACTGTGATCTGTATGGTTCGGTACGAGATGACTGTGAGCAGATGACTGGGAGATGCGTCTGCAAAAACGGAATTCAAGGAATGAAATGCAACATCTGTCCCATCGGAACAGTCTTGGGACCCGATGGATGTGTAGATGGTAAATAAAAAATATTCTAGGTCATTTTTAAGGTCAAATCAGGAATAACTGCCGCATTATGCCAAAAAAGGCTTACTAAGTATGTAGATTAAATTAAATAAATATAGTTATGTCAAGTCAAAATTCATGATGGTCCAACATCATTTCACCATCATCCAACATTTTCCATTATGCGTTCATGGTGCTTGATATGCCAACAAACTGTGATATTAATATGGTTAACCGTCAAGAGAAGTTTGATGCACCAGCTATCCATGATGGTCTATGATGGTTCCACCTATATATTTCCATAGCTCCCATGTTTAATGGGAACTATGGTTGGTTCAGTAGGAATATACCATCAAAACAATTTATTTTTTTCTTTCTGTTGGCCCATTAGAAATCAGTCCGAATTCCTACAATGGGGTCATAGTTACTTATGTTGGTTACCATCAAAAATATAATGGTTCATGATGGAATTATGGATGGTTATCATCAAGATTATGTTGGTCCATCAATAGAAAACCATCAGAAATTTTGACTTGGGTACATATATATATATATATATAGACAGGGCCGGCGCTAAGCATTCGCCTCTTCGCCAAATGCGATGAAATCGTAAATTTCGCGAAAAAATTGTTTTTGCGAAAGTATTGGTGAATGATTTTTTCTACTGGAAAGAAAAATATATATTTAACTCGATCCTCAAAATTACGTCAAAGCGAGTTTTTTTCGAAACAAATCAGTATTTTTTATTCAATAAGAGTAATTTTTTGTAGATGCTCCGCATAACCAATAAGAATTGGATCCAAATAATATAAACACGAACAAGCTGCAGTAAAATAGTTTAGTATGGGAAAAAGATTGATCATAAAAAAAATGATAAGATTTGTATTTGGAGAAGACTTTCAAAAAGTGGCGAATACTTTTGATATTTAGGAAATTTATTGGCTATTAATTGAAATTTGAATTCCTAATTTAATATATATATATATATATATATATATTTTTGTTAAAGTCGAAAGGGAA